CCCCCCCCAGTTACCTATTACCCTGCTGGGGAAGGAGGGACTGTCCCATCCCAGGGATTGTAAAACATTACTCCCCCGAGATGCTGTGGCTTGGGGAGCGCATTTTTGACAGTTGGTGTCCTTGCCCATGGCCCCTTTTCCAGAGCTGCCCCCCCTCCGGGAGGAGCTGCGAATGATTCCTCTGCCCTGTCTTGTCCTTAGCACCCTGTTTTCATCTCCTTCCAAAGGACAAATAGAGAAGGGTCTGTCTGGGCCTTTTAACCAGCTTTTTCTTGGAACGGCTCATGCTGTATTTAAGTCAAAAAACAAACACAGGTTGGATATGAAGGGAGAGCTGTTGCTTGCAGGGTTGTGGCTGCTAAGGCTCACCCACCCCTGCACCTGACCGTGGGAAAGCTCTAGCTCCCACCTTGCACCGTGAGCCTGGGCGTACCCTGCCTCCATCTCCTCTCAAGGGGGCCTTGGCTTGCCCCACCAGGCCCAGGCCTTCCAGAACACCCATTCTGTGCTGCTGTGGCAGGGAGGCCAGGGGAGAACTGGGACTGGAGGTCACTTTAGGTCCTGGAGCCCCTTATCTGTCAATCCAAGGCATTGCAATCCTTTTGAAGCTTCCTTCCCTCGAGGCAGGTGTTGGGTTGTGTAACAGACCTTGTAATCAGTGTATCCATCGGAGCACCAGGTATTGAGTACCTCATGGGCTGGTGGAGAGCACCCTGCCTTCGAGGAGCCAGTCATTTTCTTAGACAGTAAATCAAAGGAAAAAGTTAAATAAAGACAATAGAGACCAGTAATGGCATAGTAGCAACATCAGAAGTGACCCAGGGCATGAGCAATTGATAAGTGGTTGTCCTGTAGATTACTGTACATTCACATGGGTGGAGGCGTCTTCTCAGAGAGGGGGGTCTTGGGTTGGATTGGGAGGGGCCGAGAGGGAGGGAAAGGCCCATGGATTGGAAACTGTATGACTTTGACGGTGCAGTGGACATGGTTTAAGAGCTGGGAAGCCCCATCCATAGTTGTCAGAAGCACAGAGCTGGAGGGGTTTTTAGCGCATCTGGTTCAAACCCCTAGTTTTACAGGTCCAGAGAGGTTCAGGAACTTGCCCAGGCTCACACAGCAGCCGGGCACGGGATGGCTGTTTCAGGAGACAGTCTACGGGCCTGCTTGGTGAACTGGGGAAGTTGGTCACGATGCTGTGATGCAATTGGCTTGTACACTCCCTCCCCCCCATTCATTGTTTCCTGCTGCCGAGAAGTCAGCTCTGGGGTGGGGGGTGGAGGGTAGAGGCGGGAATAGTGGAGGGAGGAGGGAAATGGTCTGGGTGAGGCCAAGGCCTACATTGGCTGCCCCCAGGAAGACAATGGTCAGAGCTTCCTAGCTGCTGATACTGGGCTGGCCCAGTTAACAGGGTGGGGTGTTCCCCCCTCTCCATTTCTGGCTGCGGCTTAACTGCAGAGTTGTGAAGCTCCCTCTCTGCCAGGTGGAGAGTCCTAGAATCTTCTCCCCTACCCTGTGCCTGGGGGAGGGGCCAGTGTTGCTAAAATTAGGAGAAATTCAAAGACAGACTCCGTGGCTTCCTGGGAAAGGGAGGTCAGAACCAACCCCATCTGTGTAGGCCTTGGCTGCTGTCTGCCCCACGCCCCTGGTGAGGGTGGATGGTACCTCTACCCGCAGGGTTGAGGGGGCCTGCAGGCCCTGATATTCACAGGGAGAGTGCCAATCCCATCCCTTACCCCACCCCTGCCCTTCCTGGCTGTGGTTCCCTGATCCGAAATGGCAGGGGATAGTGAGGAGTTTGGGGAGCCTCCTCCCTGGGTAGTGGCAGAAGACAGCAGATGATGGGATATTTGTGGTGACCCCAGGAAGAGGGCTGAGGGGGGCTGAACGATTCTGCCAGCCTCTGGCCAAGAGCAGCATGGGGGGAGATGCAGGGGACACAGGAAATCAAAATCCTGGGTTTCTGTCCTCGGGGAGCCCAGGCATGAAGTTGCACCTGACTGTGTACGTGTGAAGGACCAGGGCTGAGTAGAGGTTAGAGCTTGGGCCTGCGGACTATCTTCTCTACTTGTACCCTTCAGTGGGTGTGTCTTTTGTCAAGGGACTTGAGCTCTGGGCCTCAGTTTCCCCACCTGCAGTTTAGAGGGGATAATGGAAATGACCTGGCATCATTGTGAGAAGATATACGCTGGCTGGCTTGTTGACATGGAATGAAAACCAACACTGGCCTCTCCATGGTTGACCCAGGAGACAGACCCAGGATCTGGCCGCCCTCCCCTGACCAGCACCCCTCGGAACATGAGGGAACATTATTGAGGGGCCAGCTGGGCTCTTACCAGGGTGAGGCTGAGAAGCGGTGTCCTGGGCTGCTCCCTGGTCCTCGCTTTAATCTGACACTCAGCTGCTAGTTGGAATTAACCATTTATTTCTGACACTACTCGGTATCATTCCTAAGCATCATAACTCTGGTTTTGGCTCGGGGGAGAGGGGTGCTTTTGTCCTGCTGAAGATGCTTGTGGACTGGCAAATGGGAATAAAGGAGGGGCCGGCCTGGGTGAGCCCCCTGGAGGCTCCCTGGGACCTCGCAGTGTGGCTCAGGATCAGGGGTCTGAGCGGACAGCCCTCCCGACACCTGTGTTTTCTCCGAGCAGATGTGCACCCCCAGCAACACACCAGCCACGCCGCCCAACTTCCCTGACGCCCTGGCCATGTTCTCCAAGCTTCGCGCCTCGGAGGGCCTGCAGAGCAGCAACAGCCCCATGACGGCCGTGGCCTGCTCGCCCCCTGCAAACTTCAGCCCCTTCTGGGCCTCGTCCCCACCCAGCCACCAGGCCACCTGGATCCCGCCCTCCTCCCCAACGGCCCACAGCTTCCACCACCTGCACCACCCACAGCCCACGTGGCCCCCCGGAGCACAGCAGGGGGGTGCCCAGCAGAAAGCCGTGGCTACAGTGGATGGCCAGAGATGAGACTGGACGCGCCGCGCGCTGGGCTGGAGCTGGGGGCAGTCCGGGGTCTGGGGACGCAGGAGGGCCAGGGTTGGGGGTGCTGGG